GTTGTGGGGTTCAGACCCGAACCTTGAAGGGTCCATGCTCGATTCCACGAAGGTATGTGTACACGTTTACTAAATGTGTGCATTTTTATCTTCTTTCTAGATCGCCTACCATGGATTTGGACCTCAGGTCATATCAGGAACCACGGCTTCGCCTGGGCTTCAGGTGAAGAATTCGTGGGTCTGAACTGGTCTCACACCGGCGGGTAAGTGCCTCCTGGCTTTTCCTTCTACTCAGACATATCCAAAGGCTACATTTTGCCGGAAACTCTTCTAACTCGTACCAATGTGATCACCAGGAACCATCGACCACAACCAGACAACCGAGAGGGGAACGAGCACTGCCTGGGGGTTCTCAACGACTTCTACGACGACGGCGTCAAGTGGCACGACATCGCCTGCCACCACGACAAGGCCATCATCTGCGAGCGCAAAGTCCGAGTCCACGGTTGAAGAGCATTACTGCTTTCTTATAGTATAATCTCGTCCATGTGATCTAGATCATATGACGTTGTCTATATTTATGTGTATTTATAAGTGACAATAAATAAAGACCAATTCACTTAAATCTTACCTTTTTACAAAAAACTTTATGATCCACTTTCCCTTACTCTGACAAAAATGGTGCATTTCTTTCACTGAATGTACAGAGAGGACTTTTTGATTACAACGAAACAAAAAAAATATACATGTATGCCAGAAACCTCTAGTATTTGGCTAAACAGCTCTCCGGCGCAAGGGAGGTCATTCAGAATTCAGGGAACCTCATGAATACGGTTCATATATACACATGCATATATATGTGTGTTTATCTATTTTTTTACAAAAATGTATATGTATTTATATATGTATACTTATATACATTCATACCTACCTGTATATATACAAGCGTACACGCACACATATATATATATATTTGTACATATATGTATTTGTGTGTATATACATATATATACTTATATCATACATATCAATTTATTTATTTATTTATATACACTTATACATACATATATATATATACACAGATGTGTATATTTACACACACACCTCTATATAGATATAAATATGTGTGTGCGTGCATATATACATATATATGCATATATACGTATATATATACCTTGATATATATACATATATGTATATATATATCGAAATTTAGATAAATCGAAAAGAATGTTAGATTTCTATTAATGTACAATTACCGATACCACCACTGTTTTATTTTAAAGACAGGGAAAACCTATCGCCTTCAACTGAGTTATTTTAAGAATGTCAAAATCATAATTCCTGTAATGAAGGGAATAAGTAAAGTAGTTTTCAAATTTCCTGTATTTTAATATTACATGAAAATACATTAACTCTATATTCAAATTTAAATAATCATATTCAAATTAACTATATTCAAATTAAGTAAAATAATTCCATATACAGATGGAACGTCCCTTTAAATATATATATATACTTAATGACAAGGCCCTGCTTACCAAAATAACCAAAAGCACCGGGCCATGGTTTCTGCGTAGACCCCTCCTGAATCCCGTCCCCCGGACAAGTGGGAGAGCGACCCGGGGTCAGCCCTCCAGGTCACTCCCTCACAAGCAACGGCCTTATTCTGATCGTACGATGTCCCTCATCACGTTTTTTTTCACTTTGTGCCCTGCACCCCGTGATTTTCCTTTCTTTTCTAACACTTGTGGAAGATTCCTAACCTTTCACATATATAGAGTATATGTCTGTATATACATATGTGTATATATGTGAGTGTGTGTATGTACATACATGTGTATATGTAAATATATACATATATGTATATATATCGAAATCTAGATAAATCAAAAAGAATGTTAGATTTCTATTTATGTACAATTGCCGATACCACCACTGTTTTATTTTAAAAACAGGGAAAACCTATCGCCTTCAACTGAGTTATTTTAAGAATGTCAAAATCATAATTCCTGTAATGAAGGGAATAAGTAAAGTAGTTTTCAAATTTCCTGTATTTTAATATTACATGAAAATACATTAACTCTATATTCAAATTAAATACATTAAATCTATATTCAAATTAAGTAAAATAATTCCATATACAGATGGAACGTCCTTTAAAAAAAACTATAATTGACAAGCCCTGTTTACCAAAATAACCAAAAGCACCCGGGCCATGGTTTCTGCGTAGACCCCTCCTGAATCCCGTCCCCCGGACAAGTGGGAGAGCGACCCGGGGTCAGCCTCCAGGTCACTCCCTCACAAGCAACGTCATTATCTGATCGTACGATGTCCCATCACGTTTTTTTTTCACTTGTGCCCTGCACCCGTGATTTTCCTTTCTTTTCTAACACTTGTGGAAGATTCCTAACCTTTCACATATATAGAGTATATGTCTGTATATACATATGTGTATATATGTAAGTGTGTGTATGTACATACATGTGTATATGTAAATATATACATATATGTATGTATGCATGCATGCATGTCTATATATAAATCCGCAATGAATATAAAATAAGCAAATTCACTTTTATTCTCACTCAAATTTAGATAGGAATAAATACTGACAGATTCTTAGAGTTCGCCCTATGGCCTCCGCCCAGTAACTCACCAGGAAGACAACCAGGAATGTCTCGTAAAAGGTTAATCTGGATATAAACATCCAAATTAAGCAAATTTTATTTTATTCTTATTCACACATAAATAGGAATAAATACGGGCAACACCTCGCCATCAGCCCACAATCCTCTCGCAGATTCCTTCCCTGCAGACCACTCGACTGCAGGGAAGCTCTCAGCTCTCAGTCGGACCGCTCGCAGATGATCGACTTCTCGTGGTGGCAGGCAATGTCGTGCCACCTCACGCCGTCGTCATAGTAGTCGTTCAGGACGGCCACGCAGTTCTCGCCCCCTTCCTCGCGGTTGTCTGGTTGCGGTTGCTTCTTCCTGGTGGCGACAACACCAATTAGAAAACCAGCTGAGAAAACCTTTTTTATCTCATGGTAAGGGGAAAGAGACCTACAGACGATAAAGACGTTTTTACGCAAACAGGCACACCGCGTGAGGACCCGCGCACATACCCGCCGGTGTGAGACCAGTTCAGACCCACGAAACGGGCTCCCGAAGGCCACACGAAGTCGCGTCCCCTGCGTTGGCCTCCGGTCCAGACCCACGGCAGATCGTCTGAGAGGGAACACAAATCCGAGTATATAATTATTCAGTAACACATTATACATAATGTACAATATAAGCAGGCTCGTCAGTTACGCGTGGCTGTCACCATAGGTTCATACAAGTACGTGTGATGAAAACGCAGGAAAATTACACTCATCGATGATTTCGCTGACGAAGGCGTCTTCTTCCCTGCTTTCGATGCTGATGCCCTTCCAGCCGCGGCCGAGTCTCGAGCAGTAGCTGTTGGCGCCCTGCCAGTCGTAGGTCTGCCCGCCGTCGTGGAGCCAAGAGAAGTGGTACTCGCTGTCGCCCCGTTCGAAGTCCACCTGCATTGTTAATGGCATTAACCAAGAGTGTGTGGCAGGTATGATGCAGAATAAGCTTGCGTTTCTTCTTTTTAGTCTTAGTTTGAAAAAAAAGTCTAAAAAATGGAATAACTTTGCAATAACAAAGAATTTAGATTTACGATAAAGAAATAGCTTTACTCCTATGATTCCCCCTGTGAATGGCAACAACCTAGCAACAACCATATTCCCAATCAAAACTGGTCTCCTTATTGAAATTGGCCTCTAATCCAACTAGTTCCTTGTTGAAACTGACCACTGTAGAACCTTTTCCCTATTGAAAATGGTCTCTGTAATAAGACACTGGTGTTGCGACTCACCACGTCGTCTCCAAGGGCCACAGCCGCCACAGTTGCCAGCAAAAGGACCTTCATCTGAAACAGGGGGGCGATAAAACCTCACAAGTGCGTATTTGGTAGACCTGTCAAACAAATGCTACAATAGTTATTCATTACGCTCAAATATCGCAAAAACACCTCGTAAACGGAATCATGAACATAGGTATATGATGATTAATGATATTCATGATATTCCCTGTCTTTCACACTCTTATGTTATGGAACGTTTTACCGAGTAAAAAACGGGTAATAGACTTTAACGCCAATGAAATTCTAATGAAATCAAAGTTCACGGTTATTCCTGATATAGAAACATTCACTGGATTACATTATATATAAACAATTACATTGCTGACTTTACTCTCTTGATGTTCCTCTCTCTCCTCCCTCCCGATTCTCTCTTCCCCTTCCCCTCTCTCTATATTTCCTTCTACTCTCTCTTTCCTCCCTCTCTCTCTATTTCTTCCCACTGTCTTTATCCTCCCTCTCTTTCCTCCCCCTTTGTTTTTCTCTTCCCTCTCTCTCTTTTTCTCTTTCCTCCCTCTCTGTGTCTCTCTCTCTTACCCTCTCTCTCCCTTGCTCTCTACTTACCGCGATGAACAGTCAGTCGATTGTGCTGTCCGTGCCCCCACAGCCTTGCCTTTTATACCCACAAGCAGCTAAGCATTTCCATGACTGATGGGCACTTTTACCTCCTCCCCCTCCCTCCACCCTCCTCTTCTTTTCCTCAGTAAGTGGGTCATTAATAACCCTGCCCAGATCTCTCCAGTGTGAAGGAGACTATGAAGTAATAGTGGGATGTCAGGTTTTTTTTCTCCCAAAGGAAAAGGAAATAAAAAAAAAGACTAGATAATATCTGTTTTTTATTGTTGCTGCTGTTGTTGTTGGCTAAATGTCCAAAATACTACAGATGAATTTTAAAGTGGGATTCCATTTGATGTACAATGGAGCTAAACATTTACAAGGTGTAGAAAATCTATTACCATATATAAACTAATGTATACACGGGCAACCCCTCACACAGGTGCACATACACATGTACACACATGGATACACACACACATGCATAAACATATTTATGTATGGAAGGAGGGGCTTGAAGATCGATGGTTTAAATCTGTCAAACGATTTACAAATTACTGAAAAGTGGTTGAATATTTGCAATATTTGGCTCGGACCTACAACAGCCAGTTATTATATGGCCAACAAAGTTCTAAAAGTCCGCAGAAATACGCCAACTTTAGTCTCGTATCCAAGTGGCCAAAGAAGCACGCAGGAAGACGAACTCGCGCCAAGTTCCTCTCCCACTCGACCTTGACCCCAGCTGATGCCGGTACTCATGGATGAGCGCAACCCAGATACCTTCCGGTTACAAAGCCGCCGATCTTTTTCTCCAAATTACGGAGGTTATTGTGTTTGTTGTTTCCTTCGATGAGGATCGGGTTTCTTTCCCGAAACTGATTTTATGTGTTTCAATTTTATTGCCTATTGTCATGTTATTTGAATTGGCATTGCATCTTTTGTTTCAGATTCCAAGATATGTGTGTATACTGTCAGGGCCGGATTATCCTATAGGCTAGTATAGGCTGCAGCCTAGGGCCCCTCATGCTTGGGGGCCCCAAGCTTGAGGGGCTTGGTTATAAAAAATCTGTTTTTTTTAATTACGGTTGTGTTGAAATATAGTAAAATAGTGGTATTTAAGGAATATTATTATTGACAAACAAAAGATAGCTATGCTAGTTTATTTAAAGAATTTGCAATAAGTTTATTTCAAGCTAAATAAATGTCGCTAAAATATATCACGAGTCAAAAAATATTCTGAGGGGGCCCCAGAATTTCATTAGGCTAGGGGCCCCAAAAGGTCATAATCCGGCCCTGTATACTGTATGTGTATGAGTTTGCAGCATGGTGATGTGCACCTGTGGAGATGAGTACCACGTTCCTATGATGAATATGGTTTCAAGTGAGTTGTTCAGGGAAGTATTATGTATTTCCATAGAATCTGTTAGGTTAGATGTACATTTGCTGTCTCCAATTTCTGATGATCAAATTGTAGTGGTGCTAATAAACTGCGTGTGTCTTGTGATTAATTAATAAACCTTCGTTTTCCATTTGTATTATCCTCAGAATTCAAACCAGTAACGTATTCTTTGACTTCTGAATGAATGATGCATGCATGATTACGAACATTCACACTTATATGTATGATTATGCGTGCATTGCTCCCTTTAATTGGCCATCTCTCTCTTTTTCTCTTTATATGTATATCTCATCATCTCCCTTCCTCCTTCTCTGTCTATCTATTGATATCTCATTCTATCTCTCCCTCTCTCTCTCTTAAATTTTCTTCGCATCAACGATATTTGCCTCACTGGGAAGACTATCCTTCTTTTGATCAGGAATGCCTCGTAAAAGGTCAGTCTGGATATAAACATCCAAGTTAAGCAAATTTTCTTTTATTCTTATTCACACATAAATAGGAATAAATACGGGCAACACCTCGCCATCAGCCCACAATCCTCTCGCAGATTCCTTCCCTGCAGACCACTCGACTGCGCGCCAACGGCCCCGCCCTCTGGCCTCCGCGAACAGCTCTCAGTCGGACCGCTCGCAGATGATGGACTTCTCGTGGTGGCAGGCGATGTCGTGCCACCTCACGCCGTCGTCATAGTAGTCGTTCAGGACGGCCACGCAGTTCTCGCCCCCTTCCTCGCGGTTGTCTGGTTGCGGTTGCTTCTTCCTGGTGGCGTCAACACCAATTAGAAAATCAGCTGAGAAAACCTTTTTTATCTCATGGTAAGGGGAAAGAGGCCTACAGACGATAAAGACGTTTTTACGCAAACAGGCACACCGTGTGAGGACCCGCGCACATACATGCCTACACACACACACACATGCACATACATGCCTACACACACACACATGCACATACATGCCTACACACACACACATGCACATACATGCCTACACACACACACATGCACATACATGCCTACACACACACACATGCACATACATGCCTACACACACACACATGCACATACATGCCTACACACACACACATGCACATACATGCCTACACACACACACATGCACATACATGCCTACACACACACACACATGCACATACATGCCTACACACACACACACACACACATGCACATACATGCCTACACACACACACACACACATGCACATACATGCCTACACACACACACATGCACATACATGCCTACACACACACACACACATGCACATACATGCCTACACACACACACACACATGCACATACATGCCTACACACACACACACATGCACATACATGCCTACACACACACACACACACACACACACACATGCACATACATGCCTACACACACACACATGCACATACATGCCTACACACACACACATGCACATACATGCCTACACACACACACATGCACATACATGCCTACACACACACACATGCACATACATGCCTACACACACACACATGCACATACATGCCTACACACACACACATGCACATACATGCCTACACACACACACATGCACATACATGCCTACACACACACACACATGCACATACATGCCTACACACACACACATGCACATACATGCCTACACACACACACATGCACATACATGCCTACACACACACACACATGCACATACATGCCTACACACACACACACACATGCACATACATGCCTACACACACACACACACACACATGCACATACATGCCTACACACACACACACACACACACATGCACATACATGCCTACACACACACACACACATGCACATACATGCCTACACACACACACATGCACATACATGCCTACACACACACACACACATGCACATACATGCCTACACACACACACACACACACATGCACATACATGCCTACACACACACACACACATGCACATACATGCCTACACACACACACATGCACATACATGCCTACACACACACACATGCACATACATGCCTACACACACACACATGCACATACATGCCTACACACACACACATGCACATACATGCCTACACACACACACATGCACATACATGCCTACACACACACACATGCACATACATGCCTACACACACACACATGCACATACATGCCTACACACACACACACACACACATGCACATACATGCCTACACACACACACATGCACATACATGCCTACACACACACACATGCACATACATGCCTACACACACACACATGCACATACATGCCTACACACACACACACATGCACATACATGCCTACACACACACACATGCACATACATGCCTACACACACACACATGCACATACATGCCTACACACACACACATGCACATACATGCCTACACACACACACATGCACATACATGCCTACACACACACACATGCACATACATGCCTACACACACACACATGCACATACATGCCTACACACACACACACATGCACATACATGCCTACACACACACACATGCACATACATGCCTACACACACACACATGCACATACATGCCTACACACACACACATGCACATACATGCCTACACACACACACATGCACATACATGCCTACACACACACACATGCACATACATGCCTACACACACACACACATGCACATACATGCCTACACACACACACATGCACATACATGCCTACACACACACACATGCACATACATGCCTACACACACACACACATGCACATACATGCCTACACACACACACATGCACATACATGCCTACACACACACACATGCACATACATGCCTACACACACACACATGCACATACATGCCTACACACACACACATGCACATACATGCCTACACACACACACATGCACATACATGCCTACACACACACACATGCACATACATGCCTACACACACACACATGCACATACATGCCTACACACACACACATGCACATACATGCCTACACACACACACACATGCACATACATGCCTACACACACACACATGCACATACATGCCTACACACACACACATGCACATACATGCCTACACACACACACATGCACATACATGCCTACACACACACACATGCACATACATGCCTACACACACACACATGCACATACATGCCTACACACACACACACACACACACATGCACATACATGCCTACACACACACACATGCACATACATGCCTACACACACACACATGCACATACATGCCTACACACACACACATGCACATACATGCCTACACACACACACATGCACATACATGCCTACACACACACACATGCACATACATGCCTACACACACACACACATGCACATACATGCCTACACACACACACATGCACATACATGCCTACACACACACACATGCACATACATGCCTACACACACACACATGCACATACATGCCTACACACACACACATGCACATACATGCCTACACACACACACATGCACATACATGCCTACACACACACACATGCACATACATGCCTACACACACACACATGCACATACATGCCTACACACACACACACACACACACACATGCACATACATGCCTACACACACACACATGCACATACATGCCTACACACACACACATGCACATACATGCCTACACACACACACACACACACACACACACACATGCACATACATGCCTACACACACACACACACACACACATGCACATACATGCCTACACACACACACATGCACATACATGCCTACACACACACACACACATGCACATACATGCCTACACACACACACACATGCACATACATGCCTACACACACACACACATGCACATACATGCCTACACACACACACATGCACATACATGCCTACACACACACACATGCACATACATGCCTACACACACACACATGCACATACATGCCTACACACACACACATGCACATACATGCCTACACACACACACATGCACATACATGCCTACACACACACACATGCACATACATGCCTACACACACACACATGCACATACATGCCTACACACACACACATGCACATACATGCCTACACACACACACATGCACATACATGCCTACACACACACACATGCACATACATGCCTACACACACACACATGCACATACATGCCTACACACACACACATGCACATACATGCCTACACACACACACATGCACATACATGCCTACACACACACACATGCACATACATGCCTACACACACACACATGCACATACATGCCTACACACACACACATGCACATACATGCCTACACACACACACATGCACATACATGCCTACACACACACACATGCACATACATGCCTACACACACACACATGCACATACATGCCTACACACACACACATGCACATACATGCCTACACACACACACATGCACATACATGCCTACACACACACACATGCACATACATGCCTACACACACACACATGCACATACATGCCTACACACACACACATGCACATACATGCCTACACACACACACATGCACATACATGCCTACACACACACACATGCACATACATGCCTACACACACACACATGCACATACATGCCTACACACACACACATGCACATACATGCCTACACACACACACATGCACATACATGCCTACACACACACACATGCACATACATGCCTACACACACACACATGCACATACATGCCTACACACACACACATGCACATACATGCCTACACACACACACATGCACATACATGCCTACACACACACACATGCACATACATGCCTACACACACACACATGCACATACATGCCTACACACACACACATGCACATACATGCCTACACACACACACATGCACATACATGCCTACACACACACACATGCACATACATGCCTACACACACACACATGCACATACATGCCTACACACACACACATGCACATACATGCCTACACACACACACACATGCACATACATGCCTACACACACACACACACATGCACATACATGCCTACACACACACACACACACATGCACATACATGCCTACATACACACACACATGTACATACATGCCTACACACACACACATGCACATACATGCCTACACGCACACGCAGACACACATTTATGTATAAGGGAGGGGCTTGAAGTTCGATGACTTATATCTGTCTGTCAAATTATTTACACATTAGTGAAAACTGATTGAATATTTGCAATACTTTGTTCGGAACTGCAATAGTTAGTTACCCAAAGTTCGCAAAAATACTTCAAATATAATCCTGTTTCCAAGCGGCCAAACAAGCACGCAGGAAGACGAACTCGCGCCAAGTTCCTCTCCGCTCCGACCTTGACCCCAGCTGATGCCGGTACTCGTGGGTAAGCACGAACCCGACACCTTGCAACTGCAAAGCCAGCGATCTTTTTCTCCCCAAAAAACGTAGGTTATTGTGTTTGTTGTTTCTTTTCGACGAGGAGCGCGTCTTTTCCTGAAATTGATGTTGAGTTGCGATTCATGTCTAATTCCACAATCAGAATGGGTATTGCATGTTTTTTTGTTTCAGGTCCCAGGGTGTGTGTGCGTGTATTTGTGTATGTGTAGCTTGGTAATGTGCCCTGTGGATTTGTACACCGTGTTCCTACGACGGATATGATTTCAAGTTATTTGCTTATGGAAATCTTGTCAATTTCCGTCAGAACAAAATGAATTTAGATGCCCTTGAACAGAGGTAAAGGTCGTGTCTGATGGTCGTGACCACCAGACAAGATAAATACAAGATACTCCGTTTCATCAGATCACATACACCGATACAGCACACCTACACTCTGCACAACCAGCAATGACACCCACATTACACTATAAATAGCTTGGAGCACACCTCACTAACAATCTCTCTTTTAACACACATTGACTTCATCACGAATAGTCCAAACAGAACACTAGGGTTCCTGAGGGAAAACCTACACAACTGTACACCAGACATCAACCACACAGGTTACAACACACTTGTATGCCCAACATTTGAGGACTATACATTTGTATGGGACCCCTACACTGAGAACGACTCTGAGAATCTCGAACTAGGGAAGCCAGCTTTATTACATACAATTACACGTGTACACCTAAAAAGAAAAAACAAATAATGGTAATAATAAATAGATAAATAAATAAATAAACATGGTCCAGCATGAGAAACAGACAAGACAAGCACACAGACTTACAATCATGTACAAAAATCACAGTCTTATGAACATTAACAAATATGAATACCTACAAGCAGGACATACACGTAGCACGAAACTCACATAACAGTAAGTTCCTTCATGTACATCAACATCAACTCTTACAAGTATTCTTTCTTCCCACTACCATCCGCGACTGGAAAAGGCTTTCCCAACACTTCACTGAAACAAAAACACTCAAGACCTTCACTGACAAATCAAACAAACACATGGCAAGGCAAGCACCTTCACAAGCATAAACACTACTACCTATACCGTAATCCTTTCCCCCACACCCAGCAACCAAGCATTTATGCGTGTTATGCGCTTACCTACTCCCTACACATTAACAGTGGGAGACTGAGACTGTATTTGCTGTCAGTCCAGTTAGTTCCTATATTTAATGACTACAGATTGTAATGGTGCTATAGTACTGCGTTTGTCTTGGCATTAACAAAGCTTTTCCATTATCTTAATATACTCAAAACAATAACCAGTAACATCCTCTTTGACTTATGAATGAATACTACTTACGCTGTTAACTAGGAGTTGCCAGATTCATCCGTAACCACTTGGAAGTAACGAAGATATGTTGCCAGATGCCTTGTCTGTAGTTAATAGATTGTGTGATATGTTAGCGTAGTTATATATATTCACTCCTGTACGTATGTTCGTCGATGCGTTACTACATGGATGTTCGCACTTTCGTAATTAGCATATAAACCATTTGTGAATATTAAAGTTGTTTTTTTTCTCATCTTCTTTGATCCCTATCATGAGCCATCCTTTTTTTTCTCTTTCCGTATCTCTGTTTCCGTTATTTTTAGTTTTTCCGCATCAACGTTAATTGCCTCACTGGGAAGACAACCAGGAATGTCTCGTAAAAGGCCAATTTTGATATAAACATCCAAATTAAGCAAATTTTCTTTTATTCTTATTCACACATAAATAGGAATAAATACGGGCAACACCTCGCCATCAGCCCACAATCCTCTCGCAGATTCCTTCCCTGCAGACCACTCGACTGCGCGCCAACGGCCCCGCCCTCTGGCCTCTGCTAACAGCTCTCAGTCGGACCGCTCGCAGATGATCGACTTCTCGTGGTGGCAGGCGATGTCGTGCCACCTCACGCCGTCGTCATAGTAGTCGTTCAGGACGGCCACGCAGTTCTCGCCCCCTTCCTCGCGGTTGTCTGGTTGCGGTTGCTTCTTCCTGGTGGCGACAACACCAATTAGAAAATCAGCTCAGAAAACCTTTTTTATCTCATGCTAAGGGGAAAGAGACCTACAGACGATAAAGACGTTTTTACGCAAACAGGCACACCGCGTGAGGATCCACGCACATACCCGCCGGTGTGAGACCAGTTCAGACCCACGAAACGGGCTCCCGAAGGCCACACGAAGTCGCGTCCCCTGCGTTGGCCTCCGGTCCAGACCCACGGCAGATCGTCTGAGAGGGAACACAAATCCGAGTATATAATTATTCAGTAACACATTATACATAATGTACAATATAAGCAGGCTCGTCAGTTACGCGTGGCTGTCACCATAGGTTCATACAAGTACGTGTGATGAAAACGCAGGCAAATTACACTCATCGATGATATCGCTGACGAAGGCGTCTTCTTCCCTGCTTTCGATGCTGATGCCCTTCCAGCCGCGGCCGAGTCTCGAGCAGTAGCTGTTGGCGCCCTGCCAGTCGTAGGTCTGCCCGCCGTCGTGGAGCCAAGAGAAGTGGTACTCGCTGTCTCCCCGTTCGAAGTCCACCTGCATTGTTAATGGCATTAACCAAGAGTGTGTGGCAGGTATGATGCAGAATAAGCTTGTGTTTCTTCGTTATTAGTCTTAGTTCAGAAAGAATTCTAGAAAATAGAATAGCTTTTCAAAACACAGAGTGTAGATTCAACGCTAAAGAACCATAAAGTTCCACACTGAAAATGGCCTCTAATTCAACTAGTTCCTTATTGAAACTGGCCTCTGTTTGGCCGTTTCTTTATTGAAATTGGTCTCTGAAATAAGACACTGGTGTTGCGACTCACCACGTCGTCTCCAAGGGCCACAGCCGCCACAGTTACCAGCAAAAGGACCTTCATCTGAAACGGAGGAGCAATAAAACCTCACAAGGGCGTATTTGGTAGACCTGTTAAATACATACTGCGTTAGTTAATCATAATTGTGCAACTGCTGTGTTTCATCTGTTGTGCTGAAATATCTCAAAGCCTTCTCTGCCTTAAACGGAAGCATGGATACACTTGGAGTAAATGCATAATTGTTTATAATCATAATATGGCTTCCCTATTTGTCCCACCCTGATGCTGAAGGTAGTGACGGAGGTAGGGCAAAGTGCTAGCGATATCCTGCTTTGTCTACTAGTATGAGTTACATTAGTTTAGTGATAGCTTTTTAAAGCTAACGAAATTCTGATGAAAATGAGTTCACGTTTATTCCAAATACTGAAGCTCTCACTGGAATGCATCATACCTCGTCCACAGAACGTTTCACGCTATTGTTGTTCTCTTGTCTCTGTGTATCTTTTTCTCTCACTCTCCTTTTTTCCCTCCCTCTTTCTATCTCTCTCTTTCTCTCTACTTACCACGATGAACGGTCAGTCGATTGTGCTGTCCGTGCCCACAGCCTCGCCTTTTATACCCACGAGCAGCTAAGCATTTCCATGGCTGATGAGCACGTTTACTCCCCCCCTCTCCCCTCCTCCTGCCCCTCCTCGCTCCCTTCTTCTTTTCCTCAATATGTAGGTCAGTAATAATTCTCCCGAGATCTCTCCAGTGTGAAGGATACTGTGAAGAAACAATAGGGTGTAAATTGTTTTGTTTTTCTTCTTCTTCAAAAGGTAAAGGAAACAAGTGAAAACGTAGGAAAGGATAAAGCAAGATAGAGGTGGAGAAATGGTGCAGTGATTTCCGAATATATATATATTTTTTTCATTCATTAGATAAAATCTGGTGTAAAGTGGAAATTGAAATTCAAGTTTAGTGTACATGTATAATTGATGAATGTGTGCGTGCGTATGAGAGAGAAAGAGGTGTTGGGGGGGGGGGGGAGACAGACAGGTAAACAGAGAGAGGAGGGGGGAGAAAAGAAGACATACACAGACTGACAGACATGCACAGATTGAAAAAAAAGGGAGGGAGGGAAGAGACAGTAACAAGGTTAATAAATAAAATAAGAAAGAAAGAAAGAAATTGTATTCATCTTATTCCCAGACGCGTTACTAACACAGTTTAAACAAGACTCACTCCGAGTATTTTCACCGCATTTCCCCACTCTTCGTTTGCATCCACGACCCTTGCAACACGCCTGCAATTGCCCATCCGCGCTTCCGATTTGCAAGGAAAAACAAGGAACTCTCCCTCAGGTGTAGCAACCCCGCTTACTCATCCCATCCTCTTGGCACCTTGCCAAGGCTGCCGGGCTGACCTTGGGTTGGCATAGGGAAGGGAATACGCGGTCTTGTATAGGTCTGCGGGCGGGAGTTTTGGGCGCTGAAGGAGGTCCATACTCTCTTAGTGTCTACATACACATACGCATACACACACACACACACAAATACATATATATGTGTGTGTGTGTGTGCGTGTGCGTGTGTGTGTGTGTGTACGTATTTATATACATGTACAAATATATAAATATCTATCTATCTATCTATCTATCTATCTATATATATATATATATATATATATATATATATGCATATATATATATGCATATATATATGCATATATATATGTGTATATATATATATATATATACATATATATATATATATATATATATATATATATATACATATATATGCATATATAGATAGACAGATAGATAGATAGATGCACATATATATACACACTCACACACACACAGACATAGACACACACACACACACACACATATATATATGCATATATATATATATATATATATATATATATATATATATATATATACATATAGATAGATAGATAGATAGATGCACATATATATACACACTCACACACATACACACACACACACACATATATATATATATATATATTTGTACATATATATAAATAAGTTTACACACACATATATATATATATGTATATATATATGAATATGTAATCATATAATGTGTGTGTGTGTGTGTGTGTGTGTGTGTGTGTGTGTGTGTGTGTGTGTGTGTGTGTGTGTGTATGTTACAGGCAATATGTGAAACTAATCATTACGTGAAATGACTGTAAGCACCAGTCATTTCACATAATGACTCAAGTAGCCAGTCATTCCGTGTAATGACTGAAAAATACGCACCCTAATTACACCTATTGCCTAAGTATCCATTTGTTCATTCAGGCAATCAGTGTAGAAGCCTATAATGCCTATAATGCTATAATGTCATCTAATGTCAGGTAACAAATAGGCTGGAAGAGGGGAGGCTGAGTGCCATTCCAGGGCGGCGTGTTGGCTTCTCATTGCCCTGGTGTCAATGAAGAACGGATGGGTAGTGTCCGTAAAGAGAGACCTATCGGCTTCCTACTGAACGGTAGAGACTATGACTACACACCAGGGTACTGGGCGCCCCAGTCAACTGATACTGCATGGCTTCTCTTGGCGAGTGTCCTCCAGTGTGCTACTGGATGACTATAGCGAGGGATGATGAGGGGGAGAAGGGGGGAGGTGCTGCCACCTTACTCTATAAAACGCTTGAATGGGACCTCAGTACCAACACAGCTACGAACAGAACCATGGCAGACACAAGGGAGGAGATATTCAAGCGCGAACTTTATTGGAGATATGAGCAAATGAAGAGGGTTTTGATACCGAAGGAGCAATATTTCCAAATTATCGATGAACTGAAGCAAGCAAAGTCCAGCAACAGTACAAAGAGTCGCTATGAATACTACCTGACATATTTCTCTTGTTTGGAGCTCCGTACATATCACAGAGTGATAATGGGTCAGAGTTCACAACCGAAGTGATCAGTGAGCTGAAAATCATCTGGCCCAAACTTGTCCTCGTTCATGGAAAGCCTCGACATCCACAGAGGCAAGGATCTGTGGAAAGAGCAAACGGTGACATCAAAGACATGCTAGTTGCTTGGATGGGAGACAACACCACGGATTGGAGCATTGGAATCAAGTTTGTCCAATTCAAGAAGAATTCCAGCTTCCATGCAGGTATTCGCAGATCACCCTATGCAGCCATGTTTGGATGTGAGGCCAAAGTGGGCCTGACATCGTCCTCGCTGCCTGATGAGGTAATTCAAAGGATGCAGTGTGAGGATCATCTGTTAGCTGTACTCACGACCGGTCAAAACGGAGAGGAACCAGGTCCTGTTCCCAGTGCTGAATCAGCCGAAGTTCCCTTTGATATGGAACGTCCCAGTCCTCCTTCAGTAGTCCCCAACACCCCGGTACCTGTCCGACTTATATATATGTATGTATATATATGCATATATAGATAGATAGATAGATAGATGTACATATATGTACACATTCACACACACACACACACACACACACGCACGCACGCACACACGCACAGACACACATACGCACGAACATGTGCACACACACACACACACACACACACACATACACACATATACACACACATACGCACACACTCATAAATATGATTGTGTATGTGGTTGGGGGGTGTAATTCTTGTATATATATTTTTTTTCTATTTTAACTAGAAGGTTATAAGACAGAGCAGGACTCACACACACACACACACACACACACACACACACACACACACACACACACACACACACACACACACACACACACACACACACACACACACACACACACACACACACACACATACACACACACACACACACATTTACATGCATACTTACGTGGGTATGGCGAGAACTGTTTAAAGATTAAACCGTCAGATGTTTTCCTATATCAATTACCACTCTTGCAAATGTTATTTTTTCTATGCCATTATCACAAAAAATTATCATTAGTAATTTGACTCATATAACCTACTAATGTCATTATTATGCTCGACAATATCTCTTGATTTTAATACTCACTATTATATTATGTTTTCTTTTTGTACTATTGTAACATTAATTAATTAAAATTGATTAGGAAATGTATATGTATTTTCAATACTATTGTTCCCTTGTATCTGTCTCTTTATGTGTTTTTTATAATCGATTGATATCAATTTATTTAGTTTAGTTTAGTCCTTTATTTACCACCCTGGCTAACCGCACAGGTGTTGGCAAGTTGTGGTATATTTCATAGGATTATATAATTGTATTACATTTGAATTTTAGGCTATAGCGTTATTATGAGGAGTACTATATCAGTTAAAGGAAAGGAATAGTTACACAGTCCTTTATCTACTCGTCTGCCACGCCGGCGTACAGCTTGGGCGTGGAAAGGCATTGCTACATTTGATATGCGGTCATGTGCTACTACATTCCAAATTTAGGATACAACATAAGTATATCTTCTAAGGTATCAGTTGATAGGAAATATTTACATAGTTCTCAGTACCTCATGCTCGGTGGTCCGAAAGGCTGTGACACAAGACAATCCGAGATATAATGTACATGTATTCGCTTATATTCTTCATTACACAGTCAACACTTAGTTTCTTCGACAAATTGCACTAACCTATCAATACAATCTACATCCAAGCCTGATTCTTGCAGTTACAATATCACACTGTCTTGTTCTTGTTTTATATAAGCCATAGATGAATGAATCTTGCATAAACCGGTCATAGTGCTTTATGCTACAGCTTTCAGGGCATTGAGAATAAATCAACTTAGTCAAGTCCTCTTTGAAAGAAGCTTTAATGATGTATAAAGTCCTAGAAAGAGGTATCCCAAGCTCCAAGCTCTATATCCACACTTTGCTTGTCACGTGCTGACTTTGCTAGGCGATCAGCATGATCATGCCTAGGGATTCCAACATGCGATGGGATCCACACAAAACGTATAACACGGCCTCGTTCTTTTGCACGATGCACGTTTACCCTGATGTAATTTGCAATATTTCCTGCACCTTTGTCTAGAGTGTTCAGAGCCTGGAGAACACTCTGCGAATGACCCCTGAGCCTTGATTCAATAGAAATTCAGTGGCCATGAGTATTCCAGCCAACTCAGTTTTTGTAGTGCTAGCCCAGTCATGAACCCTCCTACAATCCTGCTGCTGTAAAATAATGTTGTTTTTTATATACAACAAAAGCGCATCCTGCTCGGCTCCCAGACTACAAGGATCCGTCAGTGTGACATTCATATGCATTGGACAGAGTTTCTAGATGCTCATAATTATAATTACAATTTTGGGGGGGCAGTCGTATATTATACACTTAGTTCCGACATTTTCCACGGTGGTACAGAACGTCCATGTAGGGTCTTAGCTATGGATATGTTCAGCTGACCTAAGCGTTTACATGCTATTTGTACCCATGGATTTGAGTAAGAATCGCTGTTGTCATTCAAACTCCTCTATTCTGTGTTTTAGTTGTCTTTTGAATTCTGTACAATGAAGGAGTATTTATGTAAAATATTCTTTCATAAACAGTAGGAAATTTCCTCTCATATTCACAATCCTTTGTTGTTCTAGAGGCACCGAGAATGACCCTCGTGGCACTTCGACCCAATATGTGGCGTGTAATTTCCGTAGAGTTTTGTAAGTTTTAAATTATCTTTGTCATGCTATTTAATTTTGATTTATTTGTTATATAAAAAAAATGAAATAGATATAACAGTAAAGTCGTAAATATATGTAAAATAATACTTACATATAGCAGTAAGAGAAATATAAATAAGAAAAAAAAATACAGATATATAAACAAACGTAATTGAAAAAAAATGGATTAAAAAAAACAAATAAATCAAAGTGTAAACAAAAGTAGATATATAAATAATTGAGGAAATTAACCAATAAACACGGGTGTGATAGTTCAAATAAATTAATTAATATATGATTAAATAAATGAATGAATAAAACTGATATTTTCCATCAGAGAAAAACAGATCTTGATAACAACATAACAATAACATAAAAAAAAATAACTACATAATAGCTTGAACAATAACAGTAACCACATGAATAAAAACAACAAAGAACATAAATAATAACAATATAATAACAGGATGAATAACAACATAATAACAACGACATAATTATAACAACAACACAGTAATAAAAAGAAAATTATAACATGAATAAATGCGTTTACATTAATATAATGAAAATTTTTATTGTTATATATCTACATTTTATATTTTCTTATGTTTTTATTCATCATTAGTGAATTATAATCTATTATTATTCAACTTTTTTCGCAAATGTTAAACTAACACTATGCAATATTTTTTTTTCTCATTTCATCAAATTTTATCTTAATTTCAGTATTACTTATTATCATTGTGAATAAGTAACCGGGAATAAAATACTTAATATAAATACAAATGCAATTATCATATTTTTAATAAGGAAGTACGAAACAGAGAGAAAATAGAATGAGATATTTGGTAAAGAAGGAAAAAAAAGGAAAAAAAGAGAGAATTAAATGAAAATTAAATACGGGATAGAGGAAGAGACAATTTTTCTTTTTTTTTTAGTATTTGGTAAAGAAGAATAGCAAAGGAATGAAGAAAAACATAAGGTTGATAAGAAAAGAAGGAGAAAAAAATGATAAAGAATAACTTAGAAATTAAAAAAAAAAAAAAAAAAAAAACAGAAAAGAGGAAGAGGCAAAGAAGGAGAAAATGAAGTAAAGAAGAAGAAAATGGAAGAGTCGAAGAAGAAGAAAAAACAACAGAAATGAGGAAAAAAGAAAAAAAAAACATGAACGAAATATGAAATAAAGATGAAAATGGAAGAGTTAAAGAAGAAAAAAAGAAGAAATTAAGGGAAAAAAGAGAAAAAAAGAAATAAAGGAGAATGAAATACGAAATAAAGAAGAAATAGAAGAGTCAAAGAAGAAGAAAAAAAATGAAGAAAAACAAGGATAAAAAGATAAAAAAAGAAAAAATAGCGAAGGCTAAGGATGGTTTTATTTTATTTTATTTGTTTCTTTATTTGTTTTGTTTAATTATCCATTATCTATATATATATATTTATTAATTTACTTGTTTATCCAATTATTCATTCATTTTATCTATCTAGTTATTTCTATCTATTTCATTTATTTATTTGTATATTTATTTGTTTGTTTGTTTGTTTGTTTAACATTTATCTACTTATTTATCTTTTTAGTTATCTAATATTTACTTATCTATCTATCTACCTATCTATCTATTTATTTAATAATTCATTTATCTATTTATCTATTTATCTATTTATTCAAATACTTTAATTTTCTAAGATGATCCAGGTTACAATACAGTTATTTCCCAAGGATAAGAGTGGCTTTCGTTATATATATATTTATTATTATTATCAAGGATGGTTTAACCCATTGCCGCCGGGGAAAATGAACAAAAAATGGGGGAAATGCAGTACTCATTTTTTATATTTTTGTGAAATATGTCTGTCCATAGATGGCTCTGCTAGTCCTGATTTCTCCTTTCCTTGAATTGGCGGGAAAAAACGTATTCTTACTTGTGCTTTAAATATAGATGGTGTTATTTTTAACAGCAAATTAGGATAACTTTAAATATTTTCGTAAATCGATGAAAAGGGTGAACGGGCGAGACAGGTAGTACTCGTAATTGACTCATTGGACACTTAGTACAAGTGTAGCCATCTATGTGTAAAAACAATCGAACAAATCGACTCACAGTGGGCATGGCATGTACGCACATGCCATCCCCGGCGGCAATGGGTTAAAATTAAGAAAAAATAAGTATTCAAATTGCTTAATAAGTTTCTCAGAGAATTATGGTTAGACTGCAGTTTCACTAACCAAGGCTAGGGATGGTGTTATATATTTATTTATTTCATTATTAATTTCATTATTATTAAAGAGAGAGAGAGAGAGAGAGAGAGAGAAAGGGAGAGAGAGAGAGAGAGCGAGAGAGAGAGAGAGAGAGAGAGAGAGAGAGAGAGAGAGAATGAAAGAGAAAGAGAGAAAGAGAAAGAGAGAAAAAGAGAGAAAAAGAGAAAAAGAGAAAAAGAGAAAAAGAGAGAGAGAAAGAGAGATGATAATGAAACGAATCATCATAAAAATTCATAATAAGCATTATTTTCTCACACTTTACGACATCACTTTTACCAATATTATAATAAATAAGAAAACAGACAACACTGTTACAATAAGAAACACGACATTTATCCTTCAATCGAATATTCTTTTTTTTTATCTTCTTTTTTTCTCTCAAAAGTGCAAGTGAAAATCATCTTTAATGCTAAAGACTGTCAGTAATGCCTTGTCTCTGTCTCGTCACTCCTGCTCCCTTGGAAACCCGAAGGACAACATGTAAAGAATGCGAAGTGTGTTATGGATTTAACGAGGTTTTTATATTAAATCGGTTGTAAAAGGCATTGCATAGTTGAAGGAAATATGACCATAATTAGATTTACGCCCGTTTTCTTTCTGTGTACATTACTGTGTTTATGATGTTTATTATTGAAAAACGAAAATACATAATGAAAAGTATATTTTTTCTCCTTGAAATATCATTATTCACTGCATTATGTTCTGAGATTCGCAGAGATGAATAATTAGCATAATAATTTAGTCATGTCATATGACTAAACAGAAAACGCATTGCAACAATTTTCAGCGCATAGAAAATGGAGAGAAAGAAAACGGAAATCACATTAGAAGAAAACGCATTACTTGTCGAGAGGGGAAACAAAATCATTTAAAAATATAATAATAAGTTAAAACTCAGCCTATTACTTTTACAAAGACAGTGGGAAAAGCACTCAGTTACGTAAGCATGAACGATAAAAAAAAATAACAATAATAATAAACAAAAAAATCTTAGTGCACAACTATTTTTTTCTTCTTCTTCTTTTAAGAATATTAGATGACAGGCTTATCTCTTTACCTCCCGAACCACCAACAAAATAGTAATGAAAGCAAGCGGAGACTGAGACATGGCGATAGAATATTAATATTCATGAATTCATTAATTAAATGCGGAAGTTCATTTGTCACTCCGGCACCAAGGAAGCTTTATTTCAAATTCATTATATCTATTATTTTTTATTTATCTATTCTTTCATTTATATGCGAGTGTTTTTCTTTACTTGTTTGTTTTATCTGTTCTTATTACGGAATAAATGTGCTGTTACTATTTTTTTTTTCTTTTTTTAAGCTTTTCCAAATTAAGGATAGCAATTTCAAAAGACAAATTGTCACCCCCCCCCCCCCGCCTAAATATCCAAATATCCACAAAAAATTATTGCAAATTAAGAGTCATTTATCCCAATGACAGAAATGTTTATACCGGTTAGTAATAGCGATAAGATAATAGCGTAAAGTAATACAAAAATAATATGGTGTAAATCAGTATTTTCCAAAAGGGCGCGAACCTTAGAAAAAAAGGTAGTAATTTTTTAATTATCTTTGTATTAATTATCTTTAATTAATTAATTATCTTTAATTAATTAATTATCTTTGTTTTAATTATCTCTTAAGAAGAGCATGGTCGCTTAATGAAAACTTTAATTAAAATGCCACTAATAATTAAAAACACTAACAAAACATCCTTATAATTTTCTTTAATAAAGTCTGGAAGGGAATTTTATTCACAGATGCAAGGGAGGCGTAGAGGGAAAGACAAATGCCTAACGAGGGGTGCGGTAATTAAAAGGTTTAGAACCATTAGTGTGAATGATCCTTGCGTGATTACCCGCCATTTATTTTCAAATCTTGGCGAAACAAATAACTGAATTTCTTAATTGAGTGAGATTGGAAGTCAAGGAAAATGAGCGGGAAACTAAGAATTATGTTCAAAGAGTCAAGCCTTATATAATTTACAGACGAAAATGTCTTTGTTGTCTATTAATCCTTACGTGTTGCTTAGTTGTTGAAAAAGAGCTGTTATTAATACCCCCTCACGTTAATTAATATAGTAATAATGTTAATGATAATGATAATAATAATGATAATGATAACAATAACAATAATGATAATAATAATAATAATAATAATGATAATAATAATAATAATAATAATAATAATAATAGTAATAATAATAATAATGAAAATAATAATAATAATAATAATTATAATTATAATTATAATAATAATAATAATAATAATAATAATAATAATAATAATAATAATAATAATAACAATGATAAAAAGTACAGCAAGTTGATAACTTTTCCTAGTACTATTAAGCTACTGTATTTAAAATATTCCTAGATCGAATTTTACGTGGGTAAATCTTGGAAATAACTTATTTACAAAATAAACTACTCTTCAGAAAGAATTACCGTAATATGTCATACTTAGGTAAGGTAAATATGTGCAGTATTCCTTAAGATTGTGAAATAAACATTATCCAAAATACGTAACACTAGTGGACAGTACTTATTGTAAATGTATGTTCAAAATAACGTATTAAACTTTTTTTTCGTGTGTGTTGAGGTTTTGCCAAGAGATGTCAGTTATTCCTCAATAACCGCATAAATTGTTTTTGTTGTTGATGTTATTTGTAGTTTGAACTATTTTTTACGACATTGCAGCTATCTTGAGTTTTTTTTTTTCTTCTCTCTCTCTTTCTCTCTTTTATCGCGACCGCATCGTTTGAATTCCATTTAGTTTTATACTTTTGACACTAACGATTAAACCAAGACCAGAGAATTCAAAAGTGAGGAACAAGACAGGCAGATTAAAGCAAATTTGAATTTATTTCCAGATTTTACATAAATAAGAAATAAATATAGACAATTTCCGATGACGCGCCTCTTCACCGAAAGTCACGATGATCATCCAAAACCCATGACAGTGATACATACGCTCACATTTTCATTGGGAAGACCATCGTTCACTCGTTCACTCGTTCACTTCCCTAGTGTTCAGTTTGACTTCTCACAGATAATGGATTTCTCGTGACTGCATCCAACATCGTGCCATTTGACGCCATCCTTGTAGAAATTGTTGAGGATAGCCAGGCAGTTCTCGCCTCCTGCTTCGCGGTTGTCAGGTTGCCTCTTGCCAATACTGATGGGGTTGAGGGGGGAGGGGGGAAGAGAAGTGGTTGATTATATGAGGAATTCGTGTTTTGTTTCTTTTAGATGGATAGCTGTTTGGTCCTATGTATAAGACTACTTGTTTGGCCCTGTGTGAGATCACTTGTTTGTCCTGGTGTATCTAAGAGCATGTGATTTTTACTGTGTATAGGACAAGATTTTGCTTGAGTGTTGTTGTTGGTTTTGCTGTTTGTTGGTTTTATTTTCTTTAAGGAGGATTAAAGGAATGTCTGTTGGCTTAAAAGAAGGATTGTGGCCATTAACTATAATTGTTTTGGGGGGTCTTTTGAATAGTACGAACTAATTAAAGAAGAAAAAACATGCGTATGTAATTAACACGAAGATAGTTATGTTTCATATAATCAGTTATATATTCGTGCACTTCCTTTTGTTTTAGTTTTTGTTTAGTTTTGGTTTCGACGGATTGAAAGCACATTCAGACAGACAAAAATGCCAAAAATTCAAGCGTTGAACTTACAGTCCTGTGTGAGACCAGTTCAGACCGGAGAAAGGTTTTCCCGAAGCCCAAGCGAAGTCGCGTCCCTTGCGACGGCCTGAGGTCCAGATCCAGGGCAGTCTCTCTGAAAACAAGGGACAATTTTCTTCATCGACGAGAAACGGAAAATGAAAGCAAAGTAACCCGAATGCGACATGTGGAAACGATTGGTAAAAAAAAAGTATATTGATAAAATAGATAATCTATAAACATATATGCTGCAACACTGAAAGAAAAAGGGGAGCTTCTGTCACACAACACAACTCAGCACCGCAGTTCGTGAATAGGATGGTACTTACCATCGCTAATGATGCCGTTGATGAAAGTACTCTCCCCGTTAGACTCGATGCTCACGCCCTTCCACCCACCACCGAGACCCGAGCAGTACCCGTTGGCGCCGTTCCAGCCATACACTCTATTACCGTCGTATTTCCAGGCGAAGTGGTACTGACTCCCTTCTCGTTGGGCGTCCACCTGTAACGTGTGTGTTATTAAGCGGGGTTTACACGGACGAGCGGCTCGTCGAGCCAGGTTCGACAACCACATGTTTGAAGTGATGTTCGAACGTGTGAACGGGATATTTGGTTGTAGAGCGCGCTCGTCGAGCGGCTCGATGAAAGTCAGACTCATCTTGACTTTTGTGGGCGGGGCTTAATTGTCCAACGTTTGGTTTGCGCGTGTGAACGGCTGTCGAGCAATGAACCTCAGTTGTGCTTCCAACCTACTAGGGGGAACATATTGGAAACAAAAACAATAATGGCTGCCCTTGAAAAGAGGAATGAGAAGGAAGTCCTCATTGAATTTATCCATACATATCAGGCTCATCCAGCTTTATGGAAAGTTAAATCAAGAGAATATAGCAATAAAATAGCAAGAAACAAAGGGCTAGTGGCTCTGCAGGAAATATTGAAAGAAGTAGAGCCTGACTGCACACGAGATGCCGTGATCAAGAAAATCAACTCCTTACGAGCAAGTTTTAGCAGAGAGTTCAAGAAAATAGAAAACTCAAAGAAGTCTGGGACCTCAGCAGATGATATATATATACCTTCTCTTTGGTATTATGAGGAAATGATGTTTGTCTATATATATATATATATATATATATATATATATATATATATATATATTTCATATATATATAGACAATATATATATATATATATATATATATATATATATATTCATATATATATAGACAATATATATACATATATATATATATATATATATATATATATATATATATATATATATATAGACAATATATATATAAAAAATATATATATAATATATATATATATATAAATAAATATATATGATATATATATATAAATAGATATATATAAATATAAATATATATAATATATATATATATATATATATATATATATATATATATATATATAAATATATATAAATATATATATAATATATATAAATATAAACATATATAAATATATAAATATATATATATATATATATATATATATATTATATATATATATATTCATATATATATATATATTCATATATATATATATATATATATATATATATATATATATATATATATGTCTATATTTGTTTGTCTTGGTCTAGAGACATGTTGCTGTTATTTAGGCAGGAGGCACACTGAGGTTCGATGTACTACAGTGTGTGAAAGCAGATGGAGCGGCTCGTCAAGCAGGCTCGACAACCTGGCTCGACGAGCTGCTCGTCCGTGTAAACCCCGCTTTAGTAGGAGAACCTTTTACCTGGAACGCGCTTGTTATTCGTAAGAGGGAGATCGTTATATCCGTAACGTGCTTGTTATTACTAGAACCTTTACTTGGGACGTGTGTTACTAGGGAAACGTTATTAGCAAGACGGAGCAAAAGGGTTAACAAGAACAGCCACCTGGATGTCTGTTTCTTCTTTGTCAGTCTTTTTTTTTCTAGGAAATTTAGGAAATAGAATAACTTTGTACGAGCAGAGAATATGAATACATGACAAGGTAATATTTGGTAGGGTCATATTATTAGTGAAAGGATGTACAGATAGATAGTGAATGAATGTACAGATAGATAGACTTGGCAAGTTATTATCATTATCATCATTATTATTATTATTACTACTACTACTACTACTACTACTACTACTATTTACTTTTATCGTTATCGATTTTATGCATTATATACTGTGAATAAGAAAGCAGTATAAGGAAAAATGACTGAATTCACATGTCCAAATACTTAATGATAGCCCACCTCATTAGTGAAGAGAACATGTAATTGAAGTGGCAATTAGGTGATCTATCGATACGTTTTATAAAGTCGATTCGTTATCAAAATTGGTCTCTTATTCAAATTTGGTATTCATGAAAACTACTTTACCTTCGATAATGCAGCACGTAATTGATTACAATGCAAATAATGATGATAATGATAATAATAAGAGTAATAATGCGAATAATAATGATAATACGAATAATAACGTTAATGGTAATAACAATCATAATAATACGAATAATCATGATAATGATAATAACTAAAATAATAATGTGAATAATAATGATAATGATAGGGATAATGGTAATGATAACAGTGACGATAATGACAGGAACAATGATAATGATAATAACAACGATGATAATGATACGAACAATGATAATAATAATAACAACGATGATAAAGGTACGAAAAATGATAATAATAACAACGATAATAAAGGTACGAACAATGATAATAATAATAACGATGATAATGATACGAACAATGATAATAATAATAACAACGATGATAATGATACGAACAATGATAATAATAATAACAACGATGATAATAGTGCTCTAACTTACCGGGACTTTCCTTCCCTGGCCGTAGACTACAGCCACCAGTGCAAAGAGTAGAAGAACTTTCATCTGAAACGAAAATAAAAAGGCATTTCAGTGAAAAGCCTTTGGGAGTCTCTTGCTGAAATCGTAGCACTGAATTCCTCGTGTTCGTGGGACTAAATGGGATGGTTTTTAAATTAGATATTAATAGAATAAACGTGGCTGCAATTTACTCAATCGTTTAATGCTAGAAATGGTTTTGATAAGGATGAATGAATATAAAGATATGAAGGACTAAATTACCCATCAATATTAATGTGATCAATGATCGGACTTCTTGATCAACACTAAACAGATACCGATATATAGTGATTTGTGAAAATATTTATTATGAAAGGAAAATGTAAGTAGAGCTATGCAAGTTCCTATACTATTTTGTTTGTTAAAGGAGGCAGGAACTCGTATTACAAGCGATGATGATATACAATACGTTTATAATCTAATTTGCTAAGAGGCAATGAAGCATAAAAATGAAAAAAAAATATATATATATATCCTGTTTCGTAAATAAGATACCGCATATAATGTTTAAATTTAATGAAAACTGGATTTCCTATGTGGATTTTAAGACAACACTACACTAACTACTTTCTCTTTGATAATGATATATGTTCAACAAGGCATGATTGAACACCACTTCTACCTCTCTCTCTCTCTCTCTCTCTCTCTCTCTCTCTCTCTCTGTCTCTCTCTCTCTCTCTCTCTCTCTCTCTCTCTCTCTCACACACACACACACACTTACATATACATACACACTTGCAGACTCTCTCACTTACAGACTATCTCTCTCTCACTCTCTCTCTCTCTCACTTCCACTCTCACTCTCTCTCCTTTTTTTCTCTCTCTCTTTCTTTCTTTCTTTTCTCTCTCTCTCTTTCTCTCTCTGTGTGCTTACCATGATCAACACTCAGACGAATGTAGTGATTATGAACACTCACTCGCCTTATATATGCACCAACGGCTGAGTTTGCCATGGTTGTCAGGTATGTTTTTTTCTTTCTTTCTTTTTTTCTTACATGATCTTACAAGTAGGTCAACTTCCTGCCCAGATTAATGTGGAGAAACGAAGAGAAATCAGCATATGGAGGATTTTTTTTTTGTTTCGTGTCTCGAGCGAAAAGTAATGTAACAGGAAGTTCATTATAGGGTTAAGAAAAAGTGGCATTAGAAGAACCCATATTCACGAATATACGTGCGCGAACACACACACACACACACACACACACACACACACACACACACACACACACACACACACACACACACACACACACACACACACACACACACACACACACACACACACACACACACATACACACACACACACACACACATACACACACACACACTCACACATACACATACATATACACATACATGCACACACACACACACACACACTCACACACATACATACACTCACACACACATATACACACATACACATACACGTACGCGCGCACACACACATACACACGAAAAAAAAACATACACATGTATACACAACACACACACACACACACAAATTACACATGATATCAAGAACAAATCAAACGCCAAAAAAAGTTGATGCACAGCCTGAACAGGGTCGTTGCCGAAGTAATCTAAAACATTTTGCATAAACGTTTCAACATGCTTTGCAACAAGAGCATCAATGACATTCAACGTTTCGATTTTCTCTCTTCTTTGTCCAGTCTTCTTTGACATCGATGACGATTGCAATTTGCAACACGTTTGATCTTGAACTTGCATTATTGCAGAGAGAGGAATGGGAGCTTGGGTATTCAAGGTTACCGAAGAGGCATAAAGAGATATATATATTTAATAATATAATATGGAGATGAAGAGATACAGTTAGGGACACATGAAACAGGGCGCGTGGATACATGGGTATGAATACATGTTTTAGACAGACAGATATATACATCCGCTGATATAGATATATTCAAACATACATATATGCATATATGTGATATATATAAATCAATAAATATATATACATATCTATATATACGTATATATATATACATTCATATATATATATATATATATATATATATATATATATATATATATATATATATATATACATATATATATATATATATATATATATATATATATATATATATATATATATATATATATATTTGTATGTGTGTGTGTGTGTCCGTGTGTGTGCATATGTGTGTATGCATATATATGTATGTGTATATTATATATTATATGTGTCGTATACCTATATACATATATATGACTATAAATACCTACATGATACATATATATATATATATATATATATATATATATATATATATATATATATATATATATATATACATATATATATATATATATATATATATATATATATATATATATATATATATATATATATGTATATATACATATATTTTTTGTGTGTGTGCCCATATCTGTCTATCTATCTATCTATACACATACACACACACACACACACACACACACACACACATTTGTGTGTATGTGTGTGTATACATATAGGTCTATACCTATATATTATATATATATGTACACATACACACACACACACACACACACACACACACACACATTTGTGTGTATGTGTGTGTATACATATAGGTCTATACCTATATATTATATATATATGTACACATACACACACACACATATATACCTGTCCCCAGGGAGTTCTGCGTCCCTGCCCCTGGCTAGTAGTTGGGGTCGGGCTGGTAACCCGGTCCCGTAAAAACCCTTACCAGCAGGCAAACCAAGTAAGGAGAGAAGGGGTCGGAGCCATCCCGGAGGAGGTGACTCCGACCCCGACTTGCGGCCGGGGGTTCCTGATCCCTGGCTCGGCGTCCTGACCAGGGGCTTACTTGATCAGGACGACGAGCCTGTTATGACGGGTGCAGGGCAAAGCCCTCCCAGGGAATCCTGCACCCTGAGGTTACGTGGTGGGGGGGATGGCCCCCCCGGCCCCCACTCTTCCTCCTTGGGAGGCATGCCTGGTTGTGCCGAGGCGTCGCCCGGCTGGAGTCCCACATATGGGGTCAATCTGCGGCGAGCGTGCCGTGTAGCGGCCTGGAACATCCTCAGTCTCTCGGAGGATGATCGACTGCCTTTGTTGTCGGGGGAGCTGGGGAGGCTGGGGATTGCCATCGCTGCTCTCTCTGAGGTGCGACGGCCTGGTAGTGGTGAGACCAGTAGTGGGGGTTATACCTACTACTGGTCTGGCTGTAGCAATGGTGCGCGCCTTAGGGGAGTCGCGGTGGCTGTCTCTGACCGCTTCCGTTCCTCAGTCAAGAAGGTTACCCCTGTTGACGAGCGTATTCTGCTTGTGAGAATGAAGCACACTTTGGCCTTCATATCTCTAATTACAGTTTACGCTCCTACCGAGGGAAGTGGGCTTGAAGAGAAAGAGATGTTCTACACCAAACTTGACTCTATAGTGGATCAATGTCCCCGGGTGGACACCCTCATGGTCTTGGGGGACTTCAATGCAGTCACTGGCACTGACAGGGAAGGATACGAGCTATGCATCGGTCCCTATGGCTCTGGTACTAGGAACATCAATAGCTCATACCTCTTAGACTTCGCAAGATCTAGGAGGCTGAGGATTGCGGGCTCGTGGTACCAGAGACGAGATCTACACCGCTGGACTGGGTACTCCAATACTGGCGTTGTAGCTAAAGAGATCGACCATATTCTCGTGGATACTCGCTGGAGGATCCTTCAGAACTGTAGAGTTTTTAGGAGTGCTGAGTTCTTTGCTACCGACCACAGACTTGTTGTCGCAACACTAAGGCTCCGCCTCAGATCTAGACGCATCCTGAGATCTCACCAGCAGGTGTTCCATCTCGAGAGGCTCAAGAGTGAGGAGGTGGCTCAGGAGTATGCAATGGCAGTCTCAAATCGGTTT